AAAACCTGGACTCCATCTGCAGAAAGTGATGCTTTGCAATTGGTGGGACATCAAAGGAGTAATTCATTTCGTACTCCTCAATCCACAGCGAACTGTCAATGCAGAGATCAACAGTCAGCAACTGGGACGTTTAAATCAAGCCCTTCATCAGAAACGCCCTTCACTCGTCAATAGGAAAGGTGTTCTTCTCCACAACAATGCACGTCCACATATGGTACGTTTGATGCAACACAATATTATGGAGTTGGGTTGGGAAGTCCCCCCCCCCCCATATTCTCCAGATATGGCACCATCAGATTACCGTGTTTTTCGTTCGCTGTAACACCATCTTAATAAGAAAACGTATACAAGTATGGAAGGTGTTAAAGAGGACAACAACATGTTTTTTGCTTCAAAGCCAAGTGATTTCTTTAATCAGAGCATTAACAACCTGATTGTAAGATGGTAAAGCACCATCGATAAGAATAGAGACTATTTCATTTAATAAATGTTTTGTTTTGATATATAAGATCGAGTTTTTCATCTTAAAAAAATCGACATTAATTTTTTGACGACCTAATTCTCGTTAAATACTCATGATAAAGTTGCGATAAACAAAATCCAGTCGTTTTTCTGGCTACATATCTGATTAAGCAACTATTAATGTAACACTTAATCAGTCATTAAAAAGGTTAATCTTACACGCTATTAGCCACAACAATGATTCACATAATATCAGTTATAATGAACCTCTGCACTATACTGTACAAATTTCATCAGCTACAGTGCGTATGGGTTGAGATTTTTTTCACTTTTAGACATGAGATTACAGTCTACTCGAGATTATTTAAGTCTGTGGAAAAGAAGAAGAAAAAATTATTGTGCTTAGCACACCAAGAAGCTGAATTTGTTGAGGAAAAATACATAATTTGACAATCAAGAAATGCAAGCTTACACACTGTTACACTTTTATACCGAAATTCCACAAGTTATACAAAAATAATGACAAATCCAAACCTGCCTACATGGATGGTATAATACATTACAGCACACAGCGTCTTTATAAAATACTGGCCAATTTACTAAAATTCAGAGTTACTTCACAATTTTGTGAAAAGTTCTTCAAAAAGTACTTTCTTTAACGCAAGAAATGGATCATACAGGAATAATCTGGAAATTATGGCAGTTGCTTCAGATGTCAAGGTCAACTTCTGATGTTAGAAGGATAATGCATTGGGGTGAATTCCCAGAAAAAAAAAAACGTTTTCCTTCTTCTCAAAAAAAAAAATACAGTGGTAGTATGCACTATATATGTATAAGTGGGTGTACAGGATGAATAGCCAGACTATCATAAATTCCAATTCATACATGACCAATGATCTATGTCACTTATAGCCCACTCAAAAACGTTTTGAAAAATACTTTAGCAAGTAAGGATATGGTTGTTTTTAAGTTGAAAAATCAACATTAGTTATGTAACTGGTGATTGTTATATTATTGCGTCATGTTTTGATTGACTATTATTGTATCATAATATCTAGTACAGTGTGGAATGTTCCTGAGCTCTGGCCCCCCAGTGGCACAGCGGTATGTCTGCGAACTTACAACGCTAGAAACCGGGTTTCGATACCCGTGGTGGGCAGAGCACAGATAGCCCTTGTGTAGCTTTGTGCATAATTAAAAACAAACAAACAAAACTTTCAAGGAGAAGCCTATCGTTAAAACTACTTCGCTGCCCGAAATAAATAACATACTAGCTTTCTTCCCCTTTCAAGTTTTCAAATATTTACATTAAAATTCATATGGCAACTGAACATATACATATATTTCAGGAAAACTGTGTCAGTGACTGTTGTTTCATGGAAAATAGGAAAAATGAAGATAAGTCGAGAAGAAACTCCAGCGGCTCGAGTGAGTCAGGAGGCTGTATTAAACATTTTGATGGGAGCCAGTTCTGCTGTTTGCTGTGATGTCCAGGTTGAATTGTTGACTGGCGAATCTTGACAACAACTGACGGTTCATAGTAAAGAAAGGGAAATATTTAAGTTTATTTATGACATAACTTATGTTTCTAGGAAACAATGTGTGAAGGTAATTATTAATAAACAAAAGAATATTGATTCCATCACTATTTGTGACATCATAATTGAGCGGATTTTAACGACGTAGAAATGTTGATGGTAGTAGTCAACATTAGGTGTAGATTCACTCAAACTAATTATTTTATTTTTCAACAAACACGTGATGTATTGGTATAGTATGAAAAATATATCATAAAAATGCCACTTCTTGTCTATGGTATCGACTTGCATGTTCATCAAGTATGGCTGGGATGACTTGAGTGAACGATGGCGACTATCATCATGTGATGTATTCGTGATAAAAATGTTTTATTTTTCTCTCTTTATTTGGGTATTTGAAAGTTTGGGTTTTGCCAACGAAAATGCGAAGTTTATAAACAATTCATTGGGATTTCATCGTATTGTTGTATGTCTGTATTATCATTTGTTGTAGGTTTACGAACATTAATAAGAGCTTAATAGGTGCTTTTTGAATAAGTTTAAAACTTGTTTATAGTAGTTGGCTATAGTTTAATAGAATGTTAATGTTTGAGGAGGACTAAAGACAAGCTTACTTTACAAGGTATTTTGTGGTAAGCAGAATTGTTTGTGTTGGCGTTTCATATTGTGCTACAGTGGTACATAAATTTATGTAAATAATACAACTTGAAGTGTATCTATTTGTCTTTAAGTGTGGTCGTAAAGTAAAAGAACATTGAAGGCATATCTAAGATTGTTTGAAAGCGTAACGAGCAAATCATGAAAACATATGAAACTGCACAAATTTCTGGACTTCTGGCTCCATTTCTAGGACACGTGCAGAAGACCTGAGTTAGGAAACATTATTGGAGAACTTTTGAGATGTGCCCTTGTCGTTTAATTTAGCTTCCGATTACATTAACTATTAGATGTTTCTCATGTGACAATTTATTCGTGGATGTAAGGGGTGAATGCTGAATTTAAACACGTAGTTAAGTCACCTATGTGACCCATCTGTACCTTGATGTTTATGCTCAGAATAACACGTTAATGTTAAGGACATATTTAATACCAATTACTTTTTACCATAAAAAATATATAAAAAATGTTATTTCCAATATATATATATATATTTTTTACTCCTCCTTAAAAATAAATATGTAGCAAAAGCAAATTTGCAAGTGACTTATCTCTTGCTTCGCTGTTATCCTAGATATATTCACACCGTGAGTTTAACGTGTATATATATATATATAACTAAAAGGGTTATGTTTTCACTGTGTAATCACGCTGATCCAGTCTTCGTGCAAGTGACTTATCTCTTGCTTCGCTGTTATCCTAGATATATTCACACCGTGAGTTTAACGTGTATATATATAACTAAAAGGGTTATGTTTTCACTGTGTAATCACGCTGATCCAGTCTTCGTGCAAGTGACATAACTACATTAATATTTTTATTAAATGTATTAAAAATGACCTCATACCTGTTTTTATACTCTTATGTTTTTTCTAATATTCCACATAATTTCCATCAAATAAATATATCGTTTTTCAGTATTACGTTAGGCTTGATATATCGTTCTTAAACGCAATGGGTAACAACATATGGTTACAGAAAATAATATATGTTAATCTCAGGCTGTTACAAAAGAGTACACAGGTCACAGTTCTTCATAATAGCTCGAAATAAGATGTACACTAATAATAATAATACTATCTTTTTAAAATCACAGGTCGGTTAATATATGTGTATGATGAATACGTGTAATTGTTTGTCCCTTAAGTGTCTGCGGTCTGTGGAGCAGTTTGTTATAATTGTATTGTCCAATCTCACACTTTTTTCACCTAAATCAGAAAAAAAGTATTGATTTCAATTACCGTTGGAACGTGGCAGCGGCTCTTCTTGCTCAATAACTTACCAAATAACTTAAAATATCATGTACATAAAATTACCATTCCGTAACATTCGCCCCCCTTACTACGTATTTGTCTATAGGTGTGACACATTCTATCATTCGCCCCCCCCCTTACTACGTATTTGTCTATAGGTGTGACACATTCTATACTGGAACAGAATTTTTTTGAAGTAATTTCGGTGGAACACAGGTGTTAGAGTTCAGTACTCTTTTACATTAAGGTATAACTAGTGGATCTTGCAAAATAAAAACATAAAAATGTTCCTCACAGAACATGATGGACGTTAGAAATTTTGTTTGGTTTTCAGTTTTTACAAGTGCGCGTGCACACACACAAACACATATGAAAAAAAAATCGAACGCAATACTTCGTGATAATAACTTATAAAGTTAGGTTTGCTTTTCGTATGCTAATTTTGTATTTCAAGTTCCGTAATAAAGACGCACTCGTTCCTTCAGTATTATTATCCATATTAAGTGGTTGTTTGTGTCAATAACGTTTGTAATACGTTAATTTCAAGTTTTTTGCGTACTTTTTACAGAAAACAGTGTATATATATAGTAGAAAAATGTGGACCACTAAAAACTGTTACACATTATAGAACAAATAGTAATCTAATAATTCCAAAACACTGAAATAATAGTAGATTATAATGAAAAACTTTATGTTCATAGTATTCGCATTATCTTTGATACAGAATAATAGGGAAGTTTCAAATTGTTAAGTTAAGTAAATTCACAATTGTGTTCCTTCCTCAGATCATTAGTTTTGGTTGGAGCGGTCTGGTAAGAAGGCCCCCCCCCCTCCCCAAACACACACACATGCCATCAACCCCAGCGATCCAAAGGTTCCCTATCGTATACCAAATGATTCTAGATGAGCATGTTTACAAACATAATTTCAACAAATAAAACATTACGGTTTAGATGTGCAACCCGATTTGAATATGTGTCTGTTATAAACATATTAATTTTTGAAAGCACAATTCACGTGCCACGTTGATAAAACTGCGTACACGTGTAGACAGGAATTCTTATGTTTAAAACTAGGTTTTTAAAATCCCATCATCATCGGTGTCCAACACATGAATGTGAGTGAACTACCGAGACTTTTTTGTTGTTGTCGTTTTTATTTCAATTATTTTTCTTTTCAACCATTTACTTTTAAATCGTAATAAGCTATTTCCATTTTACGTAGTGAAATTTTTTATGCATATGTTTTTATTAGTACATGAAATATACTTTGCTGTCTTCTTGTTCCATGTCTCGTGCACGTGCGCTAAATACATTGTGCATAATACGTAACACTACCATTCACTCCACTTTCTGTTACTTTGTTATTTGGAGTATGGGTTTGCTTATTAGCTGTTGAGCACTATGCTATTTAGCGTACGCTTCCGATCTTGCGTTGGTGAAGAAACGGAAGTAATACATCCTGAAGTCTAGCTTAATTTTTAATTAAACGCGCAGTTTCTCAGTCATCGTTAATGAAGTTACGTCTTAGTTGCTTTATAATTTATGAAATTATTTTATATCTAGCTTGTGGTATCATTTCCATGTTTCAGTCTTGCTAACAAAATTACTTTTGTGTTTTTAGCTACAAAACATCGTAGATAAACCGAAAACTTTCCAGACTGTAAACATTAATATAGGCTCAGTATCTGTTAAACTTATGTTTAGATGGCTTTTAATTAAGGACCGTATAAAACTTCGCTGTTAATGTCGCTGCTGTAGCTGTAACGTTCTCAACTGTGAAAGAAAAAAAAAAGTCTGGATGGAGTATCGTCACAAACGTCTATTAGTAGAGGGCGCAACATGCATAACTAACTTTTCTGTATCTTTCGTGCCTGCAATCTGATGTATAAAGCATTATGTTTACAATGAGTCTTTAAAGATGTTTCGTTACTGATGCTTTGTGTTAGAAAGACCTTTCAAATTGTTTTTCATATTTTAAAGAATAAAATCGTACTAGTTTTAAAAAGCAGTAATAATGAAGTGAAGTTTTTATGTTTGACTATTGAAGACATTAATTGCTATTCTCCAAACTATAAAAAAAAAGGCATAACTGGTAGAAAATGTGTTCGTTTTATTGTTTAAAATGTTTCTCGATTGACTGGTTGACTACTAATTTCATTTTAAGTGCCCTTTAGTATGTGCTATAATTCCTACAAAATGTATAGCTTGTTTGTAGACATGAGCTGCCGTGTTAATTTATATACACGTTTGACTTATATACATTTTCTGTGTTTTGACGTCACAGATGAGTCATCTGTATTTACCTCTTCATTGTTTTCTAATAGTACTGCTGTTGTTTTTATTTTATACAAAGTTTTTTTTTTATGTTTTGCATGTCAACCATGCCTTTCAGCATTTTCATTGCCTTTTTTTTCATTCATCCTTAACGAGTCTATGTTGTCGTTATTTTGTCACATAGTTTTGATTGCATACAGTGGTGTTGAAACTATTAAGGAATTCTGTGATTATCTATCAATAATATATATATATCTGAAATCCATGAATAATATTTTAGGTTAAATTTAATTATTTTTTCAATGTACATAAAGCTAACTTTGACGTGTTCGATATATTTAAGTGTTCAAACCGATATGTTATTAACACAAGCAGCTTCTTCTCTGTAAAAAATCACTATTCCATTAAAATTGTAATTGCTACATCATGCAATGTTCTTGGAGTATTCTTTCTCTCAGCTGTTAAAATTTCATGCTGTAAATACATATTCGTCTTCAGAGATGATGAAAATAGAAAACATTCTTTTTCTGTTTGTAGGGTTGGGCGTGGTCAAGTGTTTAGCATTCAGTTGCCGCAAAATCGTGCTCCCAAAAGTTGGTGGTGGTGCTTTTGTCCGAGTTCAAAATTAGGGATGGCTAGCGCAGATATGTTTCCTGCGTAGCTTTGTGCGAATATCGAAAACAGATAAATTATCAGTACCATCAGCATAAAATATTTTAACAAACAAGGAAAATTAAAACTAATTTGGACGTTTCTAATATAATGTATACAATCGTGAGATCGATTTTTTTTTTTTTCAAAATCACAATATGTCAAGTTCCATGCTCTGCAAAGTTATAAGTTAATCGGGGATGGATGACATGTGAATGTAAGAGAAACAAGAAACAAAACACTTAGCTACAGCACTGTATGCAGGTTTCCCATTGGTCTGTTCAACTTAAATAGAAAACAAAATACATGTTACTGACCGCCAACCTTTGGAAAGTCGTCCACACTATACTTGTAGATACGAATCATAAAATCACATGTCGAAATTTGAAAACATAATTTTAAATATACAACTTATAAAGTACCGCCATGGTTAAATTATGTCAGGTTCGATTAGGAATTATTTTTGTTGATTAGTAATGTCACGTGACTACCGCTTATACTTAACTCTAAGACTAACTGTGGGAAATCGCTTGGATGTGTAATACCATAGATTGTTCTAATTTGTATACTCAATCTCACGTAGAAGTGGAGGTCGTAAACGCAAGTGTCCAGCGTAGTCACGTGACATTGCTTATACTTAACTCTAAGACTAACTGTGGGAAATCGCTTGGATGTGTAATACCATAGATTGTTCTAATTTGTATACTCAATCTCACGTAGAAGTGGAGGTCGTAAACTTAAGTGTCCAGAATATATGCGACTGCTTAATGCGCCAAGTACTCGGGGGGCTTCAATGTGAGTAGAGATACAGACTTAATTTCTAGCAATGGCTCCAGTTAAGCCTTCACCGGCCCTGCCCACAATAAGCCAAATTACAGAACCGATCGAGTTGCGTTAACCAGAAATCTTAGAGAATGTGAATAATGAGCCAGCGAAAGACGCAAATAAACGAATTGGAAGAAAAAAGATAAGTTTCTGAAAGTCTACAGCTACTGTTCTATAATTATCACCATCTCTTTAGCAAATACAACCAAAAAATTTCAAACATTTACAACCAAGCGTGGTTTTCACTAATTTTCACTTATATAAGACTGGCCATTGTGGAAAAATTCTGAAGTAAAAACAAAACAACAACGACAACAAAATCCACACACACACTGAGATTTACCAGATACATATCGCTGGAGTTTCAAAGATTACATCTCATGTATCTAGTAAGAATATGGAGATCGGATATCAGTCATGGTTAATACTGTATGTTTGTTTTATTGAATTTCGTCCAAATTAATCAAGGGGTATCTGCGCTAGCCGTCCCTAATTTTGAAGTGATAGACTAGAAGGAAGGCAGCTAGTCAACATCATCCACCACCAACACTTTGGCTATTATTTACCAACGAATAGTGGGATTGACCGTTACATTATTACGACCCCACGGATGAAAGCGCGAACGTGTTCGGTAACAGATTTGAGTCCCGAGACTCTCAGATTACGAGGCCAGCACTCTAAACACTAGGACATGTCAAGACCTAGGTTAGTAGCCTCTACGATCACTTAAGCCTAATTATTAATTAGTTACTATTTTTATTAAGAACGTCTATTTAGTTTACTACATTTCGGTCGCTAATCTTCTGACGACTTTAGGGAAGTCCTGAGAAGGACTGTTTGTGGTAATTATAAGCCGGAATTCGTTCTTGGGTCTTTGTTTATGGAAAAGCTGGTGTGCTATACGTCAACAAACTAACAGCCGAAACGTAAGAGCATCTAGTGATAAAAAAGTAACTAATTAATAATTAGATTTAGGTATCGTATAGACTATTAACCATGACAACAATTAGATCTTATATTCACAAATTGATTTCATTGTACACACCATTCTTTGACTCACCCGCACACAAACTGGTAAGAGATCAGACATGAATTTAAGGTGTCTTAAGAAGATACCACAAGGGTGAGAAAAATATATGTAGTAAGAATAACATAAACTTGGTTAACTCAGAAGTGTGAAATTATTCATGAGAATAAACTGTCCCAATACAGAACTATTGTGTATATTATTGGACAGTCAACCCTTCCAGTTACCTGTAAAAATAGTTAAAGCCAAATTATTCAGAACTTTTTTTACAGTTTCCACTGATTTGAAAATAAAACTTACAAAAATAATTCTTACATTATATAAATGGAAAATAGATGGCATAACTTAGTACACATGGGGTAGGCAATGTGGATTTAATGATGCTTTATTCACTACAGTATAGCAAAACACAGACCTTAGCCTTTTCCAAAGTTGTCAGACAGAGTTCAAAGAGGCTACATAAGGTTATAACATATTTAAAGGCTTCCTCAATTGAGATATCAGGATTTAGTCTTAAGATTATAAAATTCTCCCTACATTGTGACTCTCACTGACATGAAGTGTTAACATTTTTGAACGGGTGAGGAAGTCATACTATGTAACTCGAACTAAAGAAGTATATCCAATCAAACAATAATGGGGTTAATGGGAGTTTGAAAAGCATCAGACCGCCGTGAAGCTGTGCAAAGAGAGCCTGAGGTAATTTGGGTTTTTTTTGAGAGATAAAAGGAATAAACAGACATTTTAATAGCAAAAAAACTTATTTCTTTTGCATTTTATAACACTTGACTCCCCCTATCTCCTCATCTGTAAACCCCAAAATAAAAAATCTTAAAAACGCCACTGTCCATTTCATTCAGTATAATGACGTATTGATAATACATTTCAAAACGTATATAGGTGTATAATTAGTAAGTGCTGTACTGATGTTATACACACACACACACGTTTGATGGAACGCTCAAGTTAGGATGCAAATGAGTGAGAAGCTTAGCAAACTCTACGTTCCATTATTCTAAAAGGTTTTGCTTTCTGGTAAAGCTTTTATAATAAGGAATGAATAAACGTAACCGTAGATATTATAGAAATAAATATGTGTCGTGTTAGTTATCAAGTAATATTTTAGTGACTTGAACAAAAAGAGAATTCTTGCGACACATTTCCGTATACGGTAGAAAATTAATATGCACCTATTTCAAGAAAAAATATAAAAAACAAAATGTTTTTTCAATCCTAAAGCAAAATAGCTCACAACTTCGAAAGGAATATACATTTTTAGAAATCTATGAATGATTAGCAGGCCTAAAATTTGTGATTTTTATCACAAATGTTAGGCCTATTCGTTTCTAATACCTCTCTCTCTAGCTTTCGATTTTTTAAGTCGTAATTATGAATGATCAAAAACAGTATATGCAGCCCCCCAGTAGCACAGCGGTATGTCTGCGGACTTACAACGCTATAAACCGGGTTTCGATACCCGTGGTGGGCAGAGCACAGATAACCCATTGTGTATCTAATTATATCTATACCCAAAACCAAATTTAACACATATCTTTATTTTTAACAGCGCATGTTTTGTTATAGATGTCAAAGACAAATACA